CCCCAAAACCCCAAAACCCCAAAACCCCAAAACCCCGTGATCCGGAAGATAATGGCATTCTAGAAAACAATACATTTTTATTAATGGAACTTTATCTAGAAATTTAAAACTACTAACAATTTAATTGCAAACTAATAATAAATAAATTTTATGAAATGAAGGGCATTTTAAATGATTAGTTAGATGTTCCCCTAAATTAAATCCAATTATTCTAAGAAGATAAGACCTAGCAATCACACCATTAGACTATGTCATCACATTAAGTTGTAATCAGTTAGCATCAACCAAACAATGTGGAAATATCTAAATTCTCCAATTCTATATTCAACGATTCTGCTGTTGTGAATAAGAGTTACATTCCTAGCAGTATTTTAAAGGTTAGTGACGATAAAAACGAGAGATTGTACATTCTTGAAAGACTTATTGGTAACTCTCGAGTTGCGAAGGAAATAAGGAATGATTATTTGAAGATGATAATCTAACCAGAAGATATAGATATGAAGAGGTTGAAAGACAAACCTTATGTTGGTAAAATGTGTAAGCCAGATCTTGTTTATCAGGATCAGGTAAAATGGCATCCCTCGTTAACAGATAAAATTACAGTCGTTGAAAGTGTTGTAAAACAAGCAAAACAAGAAATGAAATAAATAGAAGATCAGAATTAGTTTGCACATAGTATTTTTCTGGGATAAGGTGACTTAGAATTGCCAATGATAGAAATATCCAGTAAATAATTGACTTTAAAGGAAAGAGATGAGAGACATGTTTCATCACAGATTTGGAATCCTACTTCTGTTAGAGTTGAATCCTTCACAGATCTCAAGTCAATGTAGCATGAATAATAAGATCTTAAGCTAAAATAGAATATGTAAAATGCTAATAATCCTCTATTGTTAAAGCTTAAAGCATCAAATCTTTCAGCTATAATGAATCATGAGGTAAGTTATAAAACCTAGATTTCCCATCATTATTTTTTCCCAAACTTTTTTAAACTTTTTCATTTAGAATCCTATATATAAAAAAATAGTTGAATAAATAGATAAGATTGATGAAAAAGATCGTAAAAAGGTCAAGAAAAAATCGAGATTCTGCCTTGAAGAATCTTATGCAATTAGAGCAAGAAACAACAGTAGTGCCTAAACACATTCCCCAACAGCAGTTAGATTGATTTGTAAGAAATCTTTAAATGATTCATCAGATCTTTAATAAATTCTTTAATAGAAAAATAAAAAGATAACCTTAGCAAGCATGTAGATATAAATTTAAATGATAATGTTTCTACAGCTACTCTCTCTCCAAGATACAAATTCAGAAAGTATGATTCAATGAAGACTGATAATTAAGCATACGACTCAATGGCTTTGAGAAAATCAGAGGATGTTAGATAATCAGCTATGCAAGTTACGCCAATAAAGAATAATGATTCCACTAAGGCTATTATAGATCCACCTGTAATGAAGAAGTTCAATCTGACTCAGGCTTAAATTCCTACAATGGTAAAAAAATCAATGAAACAAGGATTAAGAAAAGGAAGAGTTTCAAAGATGAAGTAAAATATCTCATCTGCTCTTGATCATTACCCTAATCACGAGGAATTGAGTCGGGAAAGAGCGAAGAATCATTCTTAAATTAGTCAACATAGATAATTGGGAATCTTAAGTGAATAAATTTCACCTTCTTAGTTGCAGACTAATCCTAATTACTATAGCATATTGCCGTAAATAATGTCTATCAAAACCACAGCTAATAATACAGGCAGATATAGCTCACTTGAGGCATACCCCAATGTCAACTTCAGAAACCTTATTTAGAGTACGTTTTAGCCTCAAAGCTTGATAAATTTTAAAGGAATTGAAATCGAACCTAAATCGACGAAAAATAAGAAATAGTTTAAACAAAATATTTTCACGAACAAGCCATATTATCCCAAGATATAAGGCACAGATATTGGCAAATTATTACCGAAAAATATCTTCAACTATGCCTCGCTTGAACCATCTATAAAGACCAATAATTACTGATTCAAAATATGCACTTTCTTTCCTAATATATCCACTAATAAATCTACAACAAGTATTTCTTTGTATCATGGGGTTTTGGGGTTTTGGGGTTTTGGGG